TTTTTAGTTAAAACCAAACTAAACCAATTATGGTCGGGTTTTTTTTTCTAACACCATACCAAATCAAACCAACCCATAGTCCGATTTTTTTTTCTCGGTTTGACTCGAATTATCAGTTTAATGCGGGTTGTCGGTTTCCTTTGTACACCCCTAAATCAAATCTCATTTGTTTTTAAGACGACGATTAAAATCTTTCCTTGAAAACTCTCTAATTAACACATGATCCTAAAATCATTTTCAGCAGTCATCACCACCCTCTTAAGTAATCAAATGGAGTACTAATTATATGTTAGGAAATTAATTTAAAACTCTGACTAAATCAGAAAAAGGAATCTAACATCCAGAGTATAGAATAGAATAAATTGACTACTCTTTTCGGACTGACAACCACAACCATCACATTGAAATTGCGACGTCCAAGAACTCGGAAATTGGTTATTCATGCATCACGCAAGGTAATATAAGATTATACGTCTCGAATAACTAACTACTAAGTATTCTTCCATCACACTTTCACAAGTCCAACTTGTGAGTAGCAGATTTAATTAATTACTACTAGTATTTCTTACATCGGATCGACGGAAGCCGTGCATCGTATTGTTAAATTATAAGGGATACATGTAGAAACAGATAGTATAAGATAAGGTGATACATGTAGAGTATACGATAAGGTGAAGACGTAGCGTGATGGTTCAGTTAAATTCATTATTTTCAACTCGAGCTATATATATAAATAATATAAAATATTTAAAATGGAAACCTAGATAAACGTTGCCAGACTGGCCTGCATGACTCTATATATATGTCAATCTAACATAAAAGTTGTTTTAAAATAAAGACGGTAAAGTAAAGACAAGTATAGAGAGAAACTGATATATTATTCAATTTCAAACTGATGTACATAATGAATTGAAATCTCCTCTATTTATAGAAGAAAGGAAACTGTTGTATAAGCTGCTACCGCAAGCTGCTATTGTACCAGGTATGGACAATCTTCTACTTGAGGTGATGTTTATCCATAACGGAGTACCGAAAGGATAAGCTTATTATACCAGGTATAGATAATCTCCTACCGGAGGTAATGTTTATCTATAACGGAGTACCGAAAGGATAAACTTATTATACTAGGTATAGATAATCTTCTACTGGTGGTAATGTTTATCTATAACGGAGTACCAAAAGGATAAGCTTATTGTACCAGGTATGAATAATCTTCTACTGGGGGTAATATTTATCCATAACGGAGTATCGAAAGGATAAGCTTATTGTACCAGGTATGGATAATCTTCTACCGGGGGTAATATTTATCCATAACCGAGTACCAAAGTGATAAGCTTCTTCAGGAGGCTTATTCCAATAGAGTACTAAATAGATAAACATATTTACGGCGGAGTCCCATATGGATAAGCTTCTTCAGATAGCTTATTTACAACGGAGTACTAAATGAACATCCATAATATAATATATTTATAACACTCCCCCTAGGATGTTCTTTAAAAGATAATGTGCCTCATTAAAACTTTACTAGGAAAAACCCCGTGAAAAAAATCCCAGTGAAGGAAAAAGTGTACACATATTTAGTAATACGCATTGCTAGGTGCCTCATTAAAAATCTTAAAAGGAAAACCTAGTGGGAGAAAATCTTAGTAAGGAAAAAAGAGTGCATCGCGTATTTTACTCCCCCTGATGAAAATCTTGTTTCAAATATTTGAGTCTCCGCATTCCAATCTTGTATACCATCTTCTCAAAAGTTGAAGTTGGCAAAGATTTAGTGAATAAATCTGCTGGATTGTCATTTGAACGAATTTGTTGCACATTAATGTCACCATTTTTCTGAAGATCGTGTGTATAGAATAATTTTGGTGAAATGTGTTTTGTTTTATCTCTCTTTTATAAATCCTCCCTTCAATTGGGCTATGCATGCAGCATTATCTTCGTATAAAATTATGGATCTTTTATCACATTCCAAACCATATTTTTCTCGAATAAAATGAATCACTGATCTCAACCATACGCATTCCCTACTTGCTTCATGAATAGCTATTATCTAAGCATGATTTGAAGAAGTAGCAACAATAGATTGCTTTGTGGAGCGCCATGATATGACGGTACCTCCACATGTAAATGCATACCCGGTTTGAGATCGAGCTTTATGGGGATCTGATAAATAACCAGCATCTACATAACCAACAAGATCTGCACTATCTTTATTAGCATAAAACAAACACATATCAAGAGTTCCCTTTAAATATCGCAAAATATGCTTAATTCCATTCCAATGTCTCCGTGTACGAGAAGAGCTATATCTTTCTAGTAAATTAACAGAAAATGATATGTCAGGCCTTGTCGCATTAGCAAGATACATAAGTGCACCAATTGCACTGAGATAGGGTGTTTCAGGACCAGGGAGTTCCTCATCGAACAATCATTGGTGTACTCAATGGGTGCGCTTTGTCCATGTAAAAGCATTTTAAGACCCTTTCTCTATAGGCAGATTGATGGATAAAGATCTCTTCTGCTAAATGTTCAATTTGCAGATCAAGACAAAGTTTTGTCTTTCCAAGATATTTCATCTCAAATTCTTTCTTAAGATATTTAATTGCATTTTGGAGCTCTTCTGGAGTTCCAACAAGATATATGTAATCAACATAAACTGCAATTATGACAAATTCTGATGCCATTTTCTTTATAAAAATACATGGACAAATAACATCATTTATGTAACCCTCTTTCAACAAATATTCACTAAAGCGATTATACCACATGCGCCCAGATTGCTTTAAACCGTACAATGACCTTTGTAATCTGATTGAATACATTTCCCGAGATATCGAATATGCTTCAGGCATTTTAAATCCTTCAGGGATTTTCATGTAAATTTCATTGTCAAGTGAACCGTACAGATAAGCTGTAACTACATCCATTAGATGTATTTCAAGCCTTCGTATAGGGCTAAACTGATGAGATATCGAAATGCTATGGCATCCATAACAGGTGAATATGTTTCATCAAAATCGACTCCAGGTTATTGTGAGAATCCTTGTGCGACAAGGCGAGCTTTGTATCTTTCAGTTTCATTTTTATAATTCCTTTTTCACACAAAAACCCATTTATGACCAACTGGTTTTATACCAACATGTGTTTGGACTACTGGTCCAAAGACCTCTATTTTAGCAAGTGAGTTCAATTCTGATTGAATTGCCTCTTGCCATTTTGGCCAATCAGATTTTTGTCGACATTCTTTGATAGATCGGGGTTCAAGATCCTCAATATCTTGCATAATATTAAGTGCAACATTATATGCAAAAATATTATCCACCACTATTTCAGATCAATTTAAATTAATCCCATCACCAGTAGAATTTATTAAAAGTTCCTCGCTCACTTGAGTCTCGGGTTCATTGATTTCTTCAGGAATCTTAGAACTAATCATATATTGGGTCTCTTCAGGAGATCTCTTCATAGTATCATTTTGATCATTTGTCGATTAACATAGGATTTCGATCCTTAGAACCCAAAGGCCTACTGCGCTTCAGGCGTGTTTTATGTTCACTAGCTATCATGCTAGTAGATGGTCCTGCTGGGACATCAATTCGGATAAGCACATTCTCTACAGGGATATGTGACTTAGTTATCCTTTTCAAATCAGTAAACGCGTCTGGCATTTGATTTGCTATATTCTGTAAATGGATGATCTTCTAGACCTCCTAATTACATATAGGGGTACGTGGATCAAAATGAGATAATGATGAAACTTTCCACACAATTTCTCGTTTGATTTCCTTTTTCTCTCCCCCTAATTGTGGGAAATTTATTTCATCAAACCGACAATCTGCAAATCGAGCAGTAAATAAATTTCCTGTCAATGGTTCAAGATAGCGAATAATAGAGGGTGATTCAAACCCAACATATATTCATATCCTTCTCTATGGTCCCATCTTACTGCGCTGTGGTGGTGCTACTGGCACATATACTAGGGCTGCTTATCGGGCGGATTGGGCGGTTATTTACTCTTAACGTTTGGCTTATCAGTTATCGACTAATCCGCTAGCCACCCGATAAGATATCGGGCGGATTGGTATCGATTTAGCTCTTATCGGGTGGTTATCGGGCGGTTTATCGGCCTAATTCAATCTATATTGCGCGCATTAATTATTTGGTAATCGATGACTCAAAATAGAAAATTGAGAAAAGAAAAAAGGAGAAATTAGAGTAGCAGCTTTCCAATTTTAAGTATTAAAATAGCCGTCAATATGAATTCTCCAAACTCTCAGCTCAGGATAATTCAGTTACTCTATCATCATCTTGATTACACCTCACAATCACATATGATATATACGCCTTTTTCTTTTAACTTTCATCACTAATATTCTTTAAATACATCAAATACATCATATAACCACAGAAAAGGTATTTATAATCCGTAATATAGTAAATGGTATCTATAGATGGCTAATTACTACTAAAAGATAGTGCTTTATGAAAATTTCTCTTTTTTATTTCTTCCCTTTTTATAGAAATTCTGGCTTCATTGTTTCCAACTGGAACGATGCATAAGCAAAGGTTTTAGTAAATCTTTTGGGTTATTATAGAAAGACAGTTGTCTGAGACTGTAACCCATATATACAAATTATCTCATACTCAATGCAAATGTCAGTCTCTATCAAACTCTTTAACAAGCAAAATTTCCAGAATCCATGTAATATCATTATCAAACTTATGCACATAGAGCAATTTCTGTACTAATTCATTTCTTTATATAGTACACAAAACTACAAATTTACAGTACGTCTATACTCTTTTAACTTTCTTAGCTGGGATATGAAAGATAAAGTGCATCAGAACACAACTAATGTCTGGACTTTAGCCCTGCATTGCACAAAAATGTTAAAAACCACCAGTGGCTCAATATTAACTTAATATACCAGAAAATCCATGATCATCCAAACTACAAAATGACTTCAGGAAAACAGTCCCTTTTGCCTAATAACTCAAAAGTATACATCAGAAATGTTCAGTTTTCTCCTTGTAATGGAACAGAATGGATACATTTCTTTTTGTATTGTCTAACAACACAAACAGGTTTTCGTTGATTTCAGAAATTGCCAGACGCTTAGGCATGTCGGCGTCTCTTGAAATTATCCTCATTAAAGGACTCCCAGTTCTTATGATCAAGAACGCTTAAGTCATCAAGATCTGCAATGGCAAGCAAATATTGAGTAAGCTTCATGAGCTCCTGATCAGTGCTTCGGTTCGCGTGTGCCTTCCTGAATGGCTTTATAACCAACCCATTTTGTGGGTTCATCACAAAGTTCCTTCGCAAGTCATCAAACATTATAGTGTTTTTGGGACTGTAAAACTGCACAATATCAAGATTACATGTTAGTGTGCCAAATATCGACAAAACCTGTTCTGCATAAATGTTCTGGTTATGGCACCAATCCATTTACAATCAAGTTACCATATTTTGGACACTTATTAAGAATATATCCAACTCTAGATAGCTATGCCAACATAACATTTAATCATCTCTCTAGGCCATAAATCCATTGAAGAAAGAAGCAACTAAATTACCTCTGGAAAATGAGCCCAAATTAGGCCTAAAGGCTTGCAATCAAAAACTCCATAACGATCTGATTGTACTGTTATCATTGCCATATGATCCAGCAGAGCTGTAATTTTATAATTTGGATTATCGAGTAC